GAGCGTCTCTCTCTCTCCTCTCTATATATATTTATAAAAAAAATCATCATACATTAAAACAGGGATGTACAAATCCAAGGAGCTCCGTGTGCTCCTTACAAATGCCAGCTGCCTCCTAACTTTAGAATTTTTCTCTAGTCTAGTCTTGGAGCTCAAAAAGTATCTGTACATGTACTTGAACCAAGTACAGTACTTGGTATCTGAACATCCCTACTTAGCGAGTAACTAACCTTAAACAAGCATTTGTATAGCAGGTGTTGGAAATATCCAGTAGGTACATGCTCCTTCCAGGTCTAGCTCATTAGGGCAGTAATTCAGGGATGAAGATGTCAGCCTTGGAACACAAACCTTGAACAAGCCCTTTATAGAAAAATCCGCTTCTAAACACACTCTGGGGCTACTTTATTAATACCCCCCCAAACAAAAAAAAACCCTATAAAATAAATTTGAGGACATTACTTTCTTTCACCCAAGATTTTCACATTTCTGAACTAGATTCTACTGGAGAAATTGCATGGATCCTTGGTAAAAGTTGTGTAAATCTTGCAGGAAAACATTTAAAACTAGATTCCTTTTATGAAGACAAATAAGAGGATTCCCCTTCACAAGCTGGATGCAGGGAGGTGGCTTATTGCTCTTGTTTAACGACACGTTCACATTGGCGGCAAGGTGGCGATAAAAAAAAAACAGACGGCTGATCCCACCCAAAAAGGTAAAATAGTGTCATGCATCTGCCTCTGGGAGTCATGCCTGTGGCAGTCAGTCTTGCAATGCCTCATGGGGTTTGTGGTTGCACCACAGCTCAGGGGCCGGAATATGGCTACCCCTGCAATCAAACATCCCCATTGGAATACAAAAAAAGAAAAACAACAGCATTTAGGAGGCGCGGGTATTGCTTTTCAGAGGGGCAGTAAAGCTTGCCACTTGTCTGAACAAAGCCTAACTGATGCAGAACCAAACTTCAGGTTACCAGGCTGGCTGTGCTATGCGATAGGGCTAGATGGACAGAAACCCTTCTGCATGCAAGAAAGCTCCAAAATATCATGTATTTCAACTGTGCAACTTATTTAGCCATTTGCCTAAAATTCAGCTTTAGGGTATTTAAAGATAATAAAAAAAATCTAAAAAAAAATGGGGGCACCATGGCTGCCGTCTCTGAAAGCATTGTAAAATATCAACAGGCTCTGCCTGTCTCTTACAAAATGTAAGCACTCTTGGAATAATGGAGCCGTTGCTAACCATCTCCTAGAATATGTCATCAGGTATAATGGGTTGCCGGCAAGTCCAGGTATCTTGCTACAAAAAGAAGAAAAAATGATTGTGCACCCCTCCCCCCTTTCCCAAATGGACCTTAATTTACCATGTTTATTGTGAATAAGTCACAATTAAACCATGACTATATAAACCCACCCACCCCAAGTGTCGTGGGAGGGTTTATATAGGCATATGTTGAGGGCATTGCAGTGGTCGGCAGTCCCTGTCCATTTAATGGACAGAGACTGCAGACATTTGTAATGCCCTCACGCATAGGACACCAGAACGGTCATATGATTAGTGGGCCCTGACTTTGTACCGCGACAAGCAGCAGGGTTCATTTCTTTTTTCCCCCTTTATGTCCAGCCCCTGATTTTATTCACTACCACAGTCAATAAAGTGATTGACTGGGCATCGTTTTGGAGTGCGAGTGACTTTACTTGATCTGCGGAGCCATCTGCTGTCGCTATACGCACCCACCCTACTATAGGGTCAGGAGTGCGATGGGTTACGTTTGGACCGATTTTATTCACAACCCCTGGCATGGCTCTTAGTAAGTTTGGATTTGACACCCCTGGTCTAGACGTACAGAAGACAGAGAGCCAGGCAACTAGCATTTTTAGAAGCACCTCAACCGTGACAGGCTTCATGTTCCTCTCAGCACAGGTTTCCTTACATTACTGAACACAGCTATAAGCTGTTTTGCAACATCATTTCCAGAACAAGTTCTCATTCTGCACCAAGGACATCTTCTGTATTCAATGACGAACAGTAATAGCTGGCTCTAAACCTGACTAATAAGAAGTGTTACACCCATTGTGGTGTGTGTGTGTGTGTGTGTGTGTGTGTGTGTGTGTGTGTGTGTGAGAGAATGTTCACCCTGGAAATGCTGAAAGTGCCCCCCCTTCCTATAAGCCAGCATAATCATAAAAAAGAAAAACTTTATATTCCATTTCCTTCAGCTTCCATGGTGCAGGGGGTGCTGTCATCCTCCTGCTGATGAGATCCTTGGGAATGAAGAGTAGTCCTAAGCTGGCGAGAAGATGGTGCAGCACAGTGCTGGGAGAAATTTGGAGTACTCTACATTCCCCAGATGTCACAGGAAGGAGGATGAGGTCACCTCTCCTAGGCGCCAAGGGCAGAACCTGGGGGAAAGGCAAGTATGCTATTTATTACAGGTATTTATATAGCACCAACAATTATGCAGCTCATTCACATCAGTCCCTGCTATCAAGGAGCTTACAATCTAAGGTCCCTACCCGGATGAAACCCACGCAAGCAGAGGGAGGACGTGCAGACTCCTTGCAGATAGTGACCTGACCAGGATTTGAACCAGGGACCCCAGAGCTGCAAGGCAGAAGTGACAAATACTATGCCACTCTGCTAATGTCAATTGTTTACATTTCAATAAGGGGCAGAATGGGCAGCTTAACCAGCAGAGCTGCTTTAAATCTGTGGGCTAGATGACCTATTTCCATTATCATTGAGAACAAAAAAAGGGAAGCTCAGAAGCTCTCCTTCCCCACCATTTCTAAACTCAACATGTCAGTTTTGACAATCAAAGATGACATTTTGATGCCCATATCTAAAAGACATAAGCAATGCAGATCTGTAACCAATAAATGGATTCTTTTTATATGCAAGCAGTCTAAGTACCTGAATTTGACTTAGTATCAGTCTTGTGTAATCCCCAGTACAAGGAGAGGCAACACAAGCCAGTTGGTTGTGCTATAATGCAAGGAACATGCTGACAGGAGGAAACGGCAGAGTGATAGAAATGAGATCATTAGTCTGCTTCTTCTCCTTCACTGTTCAGTCACAGGCTGGGGGTGGGGAAAGAGACCTGGAAGTGGTTCTAATCTGCAGCAGCGATAACTTAGGTCACCTGCCCTGCCAGACAGAGCTGTGCTGTGTGGCAGAGCTCTGTAAATAACAGGACTGGATAGCCAGAAATACAAATCTTTTGTCAGATATAACCATTCCTATATATGAATGTTATCTGTTTGACTCACATTCGGCTCTAAAGTATAAATTAAATACCAAAGCTTGTTTTCTTCTCTTTCTTTTTACATTTGGATAGAGCAAGGAAGGGTTAGAACCAGTGTCAGGTTTTTATTGCAGTCTGTGTTCCGGTTATGCTCACAATCCCTGTTAGATTTACCAGCAACCATATAGTGCAAGGACCTGCCTAACTCGATGCAAATTGATTGGTTAGGTCCTCACATGACATTGTTTCAGTAAATCTAAAATTGATTGGATGCTCAGATTGTAACATGTTTGCTGACCCCTTAGGGAGATACAATGATAGGAATTTACTAGAGCAGTCAGAATCTGGCAACCAATCAGATCCAACAAAAAAAGGGGGGAGGCGTTACGCTAGTGTATAAACTAATATACCAATCTACAGGGTTTCAAACAACTATTCACAAAAACGTTCCCCCAAAAATTAGAAATCCCTTCTAAAAAGATTGGTTCAAAATTATTGATACAATATTTAATAGTAGAAAAAGACTTTGCTTTTGAAGGTTAGCGGGTGGCTTCCCCCGCCTTACGGGTAAATTCCCGGCTCCTATCTTGCCAGGCGCATCTTACCGTGGAGTGTCAAGTAGTCTTTCTCTTTTTCTGCACAGTGCGGCCGCACACGAAAGACCAAAATCTTAGAAGAAGCTTCCATTTCATTCACTGAAACCCACGGAGTATCTTGTGCCTTTGGAAAGTGCTGTGAGAGGGGCATCCGCAGCTCCTGCCTGTATTGAGGAGCTACATTCTTTGACAGTAATATCGTCTTATACTGGACACCTCTCCCAAAGTCTTTCTTCCATCTTTACACACAGGACTCTAGCAGGTTCATTTTCCCTCGAGCTCTTTGAACTGCAACATATGAGAGTACATTCTCAGATACATTGTTTCTTTTGAAAAGTACTTCAATCATCCAGAAACCTGCATAGATGGTCATTTACCACACAGGTGGTTTTTAGGCAACAATTGTTATAATCATGCAGGATATATCCAGTGGAATGTTTTAAGTGTTTTTAAATGTCTCTGGTACATGAGTTTATTGTATATGTCTTTTTCTACTATTAAATATTGTATCAATAATTTTGATTTACCTGTGTTGAACCAATCTTTTTAGAAGGGATTTCTAATTTTTGGGGGAACGTTTTTGTGAACAACCAATCAGATCCTAGCTCTCAAGTTCAATGCTTAATTGAACAAGCGGATTGGTTGGTTACTATACACAGCTGCTCCATATTGTCTGCTCCAGTTTTAGCAAGTTAGCCCAAATCTCTGTAATCGTTCTGATCACCAACATCACTTGGAATGAAAGTGAGGGCAAATCTAAAAGTTGAGTTGCCATTAGAACAGGTGACATCTCCCAATGAAGACACTTGTTCCCCTGACAATTAAGAAGGGATTTCCCTCACACTGGAAGATATCATCTTACTTCCTGTTGAGTCTACAGGACAGGAAGTGAGGGGAAATCTCCCTAACTAGATACAGATGGCAAAAAAATAAAAAAGGATAGCAGTTCTAACCTTCCTCTGCCTTTAGATACACTATAGACAACAGTTCCTCTGACATTAGAGTCCATGGTCGTGTAAGGCAAACCTTAGTATTCACTAACCAGCCCATTGGGGGTTATACTGTGACTACAAGTATACTTACAACTTTCCTACAGCTCTGCCAGTCATGGCACTACTCACACGAGGCATTCTATAGAGCTCAGCAACTTACAGCTCACTCACCTGGTTCATAACCTGCAAGAAAAGCAGAATATGGCTGATCAATGCCTGCTGAATGGACACAGTACACACATGTGCTTGGATAAATGGCACCACTTACATCTGGATTGGCCTCCAGAGGTAGCCAGCGCATAGACTGCATGGTGAGAACTCCGGGCGCCTGCTGTTACAACTCCCTATGGATGCTCCTGTGACAGCACTCTCCAGCCTTCTGTCTACTAAACTGCACCCACAGACCACTTCATATTACAAACACAGGGGGGTGCTCTAATGTCAGCTACTATCACCTTCATCACGAACTGTCATTTCAGAGTTTATTAATGCATAACTTAATTTAAGCAATTCCATGCGAAACAATCAGGACGTATTGATATGTTTCCTGGAGGAACGCGTTATACGATCCACACGACATAACGTTGTCTCCCCTTTGTCAGAGACAAATGGACTCTTCCGCACCGGGGAGCGTGTAGTGGAACGCACAGCATTGGTTAGCAGCGCTGCGAGTTGATGACGTAACTTAGGGCGGAGCTGTCCAGTCATTGTGCTCGTTCCTGTATAATGGGCACACCCCCTGTTTCTGATAGGCGGTAGCAGCTAGGCGTGCTCATTGTGGGTGGTCTTTCTATGTAAACAAGTCTTAGAATTTTCTCACCGTTGGCTCCTAATAAAAGTGCATTTTTTTTTACACGGTGACTTAACAGTCTTATAGTCATTTGTGCGAGTCTTCTTTACTACGTTGCAGTGTGAACAGCAGATCAGTGGCCTAACTGCCCGACGTAAAGATGGCGGCTGCAGTCATAGCTTGCAGTCACGTGATTTGGAGCTCATGTGACAGGCGCTGAGTATGCTGGGAAATATTGCTGTGACACTTTGGTGTAGAGATGTTGGAGAGGGAGCTGTCAGGAGCAGGTATGTGTTTTAGGTATACTGCGATCACATATGCACGCCGAGTCATACATGTCTGATAGGGTCTCGGGATACTGCCAGGACTGTGCACAGAAATGTCCCTGGTCAAAGTAATCAATTACCCACTTTGGATAAATCATTCTCATGTATGTGTGTTAGGTGTAGATGTTACCCTCTTTTACAGATTATTACTGACTTATATAATCACCAGCATGGCGTTTAAACAGTTTTATGTCTTAAAGTGGAAGTAAACGCAAAAAAAAAAAAATGCTGGGAGGTTAGGGAATTTTGGCAGAAAAAACATGGTATGTCTATCTGTAAAAAATAAGTCAAGGCAAGGAGTGCCTTCTCTTATTTTTTACAGATATACCATGACCTGGATGAATGAGAACCTTCAAAGACATAATGCAATGTCTCTTCTTCCAAAAGACATTTTCTATTTTTTCCCCCCAGCGGTTTCTTTTTTCTGTCTACACTGTATGATATATGAATGGGCCTGATGCTGGGGGGATGTAACTCATAGTCACATATAGTTAGTCAGGTTGAAAAAAGTCTAGAAACTCCTGTGTGCATGCCTAAGGCTGGGCACACACCTTACAACCATCGCAAGACTTTTGTCTTGCGATGGTTGTAAGGTACTTAAAAAAACGTACGATCTGCCTATGTTGCATAGGCAGATCGTACTTGCGATGATCGCAAGCCACACCCCCTGAGGGGCGGGCTTCCGATGACCGCAATGCCGAACGGGCAGTGTGCGCTTGCGCACACCGGCCCGTGCGGCTGTTATCGTACGGACATGCCACAAACCCGCCGAACATCGTACGATGCTTGGCGGGTTTTCAAACATGTCCGTAAGTTTAAAGTCGTGCGACCTTACAGTAGTAGAGGTCGCACGGCTTCCACACACCTCATGATCATCGTACGATCGCGGGATTTCCCGCTATTATCGTACGATAATCGTAAGGTGTGTGGGGACCCTAAGAGTTACGTGATCAATGGCTGAAGAGGATGCCTGGGAACCTGGAAGTGGTGGAGATGGCAGGGGACTGAAGATGTGTCACACAGCCAGCTCACCGACCATGCTAGTTACCAGGAGTTGGGAGGAGGGATGTGCATGGCTCTTGCGCGTGTTCCCGCATGGCTCTTAGCAACCTGGGATGCTCTGGCCACAACCCCCACGTGACTCGAAGAAATGCTGCCTCGTTATAGGGACAGCCCTTATCATTTCCATACTGCCCCCTGACAGGTGGGGGTCCAGCCTCTCTTTTGTACATCTATTCAGCAGTGAATGCCTCAGGGTAGTTGACAAGATTGGGGAGTGAGAGAAGAAATGTCACAAAAAAAGGAGACTGAATTGTTTGGGTCATGATGTTTGAAGAAGTAACTCGTATACAATTACCATGGAACTCTTCCCTAGTCATAGAGGCAACATTATGATCTCACTCCATCCTTGCATGAACATTGCTTCAAGGTGTTTAGAGGGGGGTTCCTTATTCATGACCCTGATGTTATGTTAACACATGTACAGTGGATTGATGCTCAGGTTATACATTTGTTTTTTTTATCATCTCTTTGATAAAAAAAAAAAAAAAAA